ACAGATTCATTCTGGAGAAGGTTAAACCAGGGTGCTCCTTGGAGGGCAAGGATTCTGAAGCTTCATCTGAGATACTTTGGACATATTGCAAGGAGGGACCAGTCCTTGGAGAGGGACATCATACTTGGGAGGGTGGAGGGACAGTGCAAGAGAGCAAGACCTTCAATGAGATGGATTGATTCAATGACTGGGGTAATGAGAGTAGGTGTATCAAAGACAATAAAATTGGCACAGGATAGAGCAGGGTTTAGGGCTGTTGTACATAGGGTCGCTATGAGTTGTAGGCAACTCGATGGCACATAACAACAACAACAAACAATGTAATGAGCCCTGGTGGCCGGTAGTTAAGTGCTCTCTGTAGGCGAGGATTTAAAATCTCCATCTTGCATACTTTGGGCATGTTGTCAGGAGGGACCATTCCTTGGAGAAGGATATCATGTGTGGAAAGATAGAGGGTCATCACAGAAGAGGAAGACCCTGGATGAGTAGATTGATGTGGTTACTGTGGCAATGGGGTCAGGTTTGGCAGACACAGTGAGGTTGACTCAGGTAGGGTAAGATTCAGAGCCATTATTCATAAAGTTGCTATAGGTCATAGTCGACTTGGTAGCACATAACAACAACAACAACATACCTCAACATAAAACAAAAATCTTTACAGTCAGACCAATAAGTAACATCATGATTGATGTTGTCAAAGATTTCGTTTTACTTGGATCTAGAATTAACTCCCATAAAAGCAACAGTCAAGAAGTTAAATGTCGTATTTTCTTGGATAAGTCTGCTCCAGGAGCCCTCTTTAAAATGTTAAATAGGCAAAGATGTCACCTCGAAGACTGGAATTAGCTCGCTCAACAACTGTGTTATTTTCATACTCACTAGAACTGACTCAAAGCTGACTCTCTAGCAGGTGTTTAGAAGCAACTTTTTATGCTTCTTCATGTCTCTAAAAACAGCTAAAGCCACTGCCTTTGAGTTGAATCCAATTCATACTGACCCTTCATTTGGTTCCCAAGACTAAATCTTTGTGAGAGAAAATGGTCTATCTTCTCCTGAGAAGATTTGAACCACCAATTAGCAGTACAAGGTGCTAATAGAGCATCTTCCAAGTCTTTTTAGGCTCCTTTAACTTGGAGCAGTTCTTCAGCACCTCTTTGTCTTTCATCTGACACATTTTTTT